ATAGATAATGATATAGTAGTATCATATGGTAGTATCTTATAGTACTATTAAATACATGGTAATATCATATAATTTTCACACAGCAGTATTGTACGAAAACTTCATATTGCAGTATCATATGGTAGTATGATATAGTACTATTATATGGTAGTATCATATAGTACTATTATATAGTAGCATCCTATGGTAGTATCATATAGTACTATTTTATACTTAGTCGTATCATATAATTTTCACATAGCAGTATCGTACGAAAACTTCATATGGTAGTATCATATAGTACTATTATATAGTAGTATCCTATGGTAGTATCATATAGTACTATTATATACATAGTAGTATCCTATAATTTTCACACAGCAGTATTGTATGAAAACTTCATATGGTAGTATCATATAGTACTATTATATAGTAGCATCCTATGGTAGTATCATATAGTACTATTATATACATAGTAACATATAATTTTCACACAGCAGTATTGTATGAAAACTTCATATGGTAGTATCATATGATAGTATCATATAGTATTATCATATAGTAGCATGATACGATAGCATCGTACACTTACAGCAACGACTGAAGACATAATTGTGACAGGAGCTGTGACACGCGAAGCACAGTCTACCCACGAGTTTCAATAGCCAAGTAGCCCTCACAAACAATACGACTCGCCACTTGGCTGGATGCCACGGGTTACCATAGCAACACTTACCGCTTGGTTCTGTCGGATGGTTTGCGCAAAGATGAACTCTCCCATCGGGGCCGTTGATATGATCCTGCGCATGTCCCAACAGGGCAAAGGCAGCGAGTTTAACGAACGGAATGGGAGAGCCCTTGGAAGTGGGTACAATACAAACCACGACCACTTACATATAATATAGGGGTGTGATGGCGGTGTCATCTGCATATAAATATACGTGTAGGTTCCTGCAATACAGTGATAGACATTTGTTTGACGCACACGCAGATACTGCAAGTGAGCTGTTGCGAGTGGAGTGATGTATATATCACACAAACGTGTAGAAAAGGGTCAATATACGTAACAAACGACTGGCCATACGCATACAAGCACCCACCACTCACCTAACACTTATCGTATATACAAAAATGTTAAAAAAGGGTTCCATATCCGTAACAAACGGCTTGCCATACGTATTTAAGCACCCACCACTCACCTAACACTTATCGTATATACAAACATGTAAAAAGGGGTCCATATACGTGACAAACGGCTTGCCATACGTATTCAAGCACCCACCTCTCCGGCACAGCCGCCTTGTTCTCATCCTCAACCAGCTTGGCCCAAAGTGCTTCATCTGCGCGCAGAGTGTCTGTGTCGCTTTTCAGCATATCGCGCGTGTAGGCGGCCTTGATCTCTGCCGCAGTGTAATCGTCGATGCCTGGTAATGGACAATAAAAGAGGTGAGTAAAACGTTTATCTACTGCGCGTATGGTCGGTGAGAGACCCCAGTGGCTGGGAGTAGCCACGTACATGTGTGTAGCATTTAGCCTTTGCGCACATCGTGTAGGTATGATTGGCCTCGACCTCTGTCGTAGAGTGTGAGCGGTGCCGGTAGTAACCAATCAAAGAGGTAGGTAGCAATAAATAACCCCACGCGTGCAAATGGCCCTGACTCCAGCCGGGGAGTGGGTGCTAGTACCCGTGGCATGCACAAGTGAAAAGATTGAGTCAGCGCTCGAGCTCACAAGTTGTTTCTTTGTACCAGTCATGTGTGTGCTACGCACACTACTCTGGCCCTCTATACACAGAGTCGCTTGGCCAGTCTCAGCTGTACGCCACTCCAGTGCATGCAAAATGATATCTATTTTTAGCCCACTTTACCTACCATAGTAGCAGTAGGATCCACCGGCTATTGGGGCGTCCGTGTACCACTCCTGTCCTTCTCCCTGCGCTATGGGATCACAGACCTGCATCCGCGTCTTGGCATTGAAAGCCTAAGCAATCGGAAGAACGGAGAGAGAGGAATTTATTGAAAGTTCAAGAAAAAATTTGGACGAAAACAGAGAGAAGAAGAAGTCATTGTGAGTAAACGAAAGCATTCGGAACAATAGTGAGAGAAGAAGGCATTGTGCGTACAAGAACAGGGTGACGTATGTTCGTGTGGCGTGAACTCAGAGCACACAACTGTGCTTGACAATCAATGCATTTGTTGGGAAAGGGGGGCAGTTGGAGTTAAAAGTATCACGCAGGATGATATGATGTGCGCAAACGAGATAACAGGTGAATACGGCACCTAAGGGTGGGCGAGGACTCTAGTAGCCAGCGGAAACAATACGATAAACAATGGTGTGAAGCCGAAATAAGAAACAGATAGCTAGAGATACACAACGAT